CAAAAGATTGTAAATAAACCAATACTGCATATGTGTGCGTTCCTTAGAGAAAAAGGCTATAGAAAGAAGGTCGCTGCTTAGGTTGCCGAGAATACGTAAATTCTCCAATTAGATAAGATCCAAGATTTGGAAACATTTAATAAATTATTAATTACACACACATTAAAAGCATTTATAATCCTGGATTTAGAAAAATCTTTTAGATCCAGGTAATTTTATTTTAAAATATTCCGAATATGGGAAAATTTTCAATATTCTGGGACGTTTAAATAGTCAGAGCAAATATCTAAGTGTTTAAGATCTTAAAAACAAGAAGAAGCTCGTCAAAATTTATTTAAGCCTCGGCTAGTGACAATTTGGGACCTCCATTGGCTCAATCGGTAAAGGCGCAGCTACAAAGCAAGACCATGCTGTAGGTGACTGTGTTCGATTTCTTGTCTGGTCTAGACATTTTTCAGGTTGAAAAATTTCTCGACTTCCCTGGGCATAGAAGTATGATTGGACTTGCCACACAGTCATACTAATGCAAAAATGGTACTGGCACCGAAAGCACGCAATTAAAAACTGTGGAAGTACATCTAGAACACTAAGTTGAGAGCACACAATAATCTAATATGCGATATGCAATAAGCTTGGAATGCGAAGAAGAAGAACAAGAAGAAGTAGTGACCATTGTGCCACATCCAGAAATTACTAGAACATTTGATATAGTGACAAATTAAGTTTTAATATTATAAATTAACTACTTCCACACAGTGGCGCCGGTGGTGTAGTGGCAAGCGTGATTACCTCTCACCCCAGCAGGCCTGTATTCAATCCCAGTCGGCGCCGCCGAGATGTTCTGAGGCATAATATCTCTGATCACGTCTTCCTTCGAAGGGAAGTAAGCAGGGTGCCTTCCATTCATTTTGACTAAAAAAATGTTTTATGAAATTATAGAATAATAGGATATTATGATGATATTTTGTATGTGTAAGTAATTAGAAAAGATTGTAAAGTTTGTGTTTCACATATCAAACCTGCGAATTTAGCTTTGACAGAGTCACGATGAGCGTTTTTTCTGATCGCCTCTTCGCGAAGAGTGAAGAGCGAAGAGTGGGTGAGATAAATTACAAAATCGCTTATTGCGACTCTCATGTAGCAAAATTGGCAGGTTTTATGTATCAAACACAAACTTAACAATCTTTTCTTGTTGTTTACATATTCAAAATATTTTCATAATGTCTTATTATTCCATAATTTCTTTAAACATTTTTTTAGTCAAAATGAATGGAAGGCACCCTGGAAGTAAGTAAAGCCGTTGGTCTCCGGTTCATGAGTTGATGGGTCGATGGGTAGCGTCCAGGTGTGGGAGCTGCCTGCCTGGCATCGGTAGCATTGGTGCTCAGCACGGAAAACAAGATCGACGGAAAACAAACCAAGCAAAAATAAAAAAAACTACTTCCATAAATGGATCTTGGATCTATTTTTCAAATTCATATGGGTAAATAAGGCCAGATATTTCAGTTAATTGTGTATTTCGGTATTGTTCTTAAAATTATAAACGATAAATAAAAAAAAAAATCTACTAACCGATAATTCTATAACTCGATGGTCCCTTCAATATTTTGTTATAAAAAATTGACTCTAGCATATTTTTCAAGAAAAATCTTTTATAATTTTCCAAGAGAAAGCAATAGCAAAATAGTTTTTATCAAAAACATGCTCAATCAAGTGTTTAAAAATCAAAAGTTTATGTTAAAAACTGATTTTTTGAGGGGTCGCCCTGAGTTTCCATTTAAATTTAGTAAAAATCGAGAACTATTAGAAAAAGTTTCTTTTCATCATTAGTAAAATTGGCTGCAAATAAAATAATTTTTTAAATTTATAATATTTTATTTATAAGTTGTACACAAACACTTTTAAAAGCTACGGATTTTCGTGTCTTCGGTGCACTTATTATTTGTCTCATAAAGAATAAGTGCGCCGAAGACACCAAAAAGAATTAATGTAGAACCGTAGATTCATAAGCGTTTGCGCACAGCTTATACATTTATATCTTGCGATACGCAATACCTAATGATGCAGAGAATTTATTGTAAAATCCTTATTTACCATAAGTTGTACGGTACAATATTATCAATTTTATGGTGCAAATAATAGGTTTTATTGCACTGTAACAGTAGGTTGTGTTGTCATCTTCTTCTAGGCGTTTTAAGCTTCTGTAGCGAGCGTTTTGTCAGTTCTCTACTCAGTGTTCTAGATGTACTTCCACAATTGTTAATTGAGAGCTTTCTATGCCATTCAAATGCATGAATTTGTATATTGTTCCAAGAAACCTAAATTCATAAAATCATCAGAGTTGGTTGGAAATGCTATCAAACATTAAGCTTTAGTGTGATAATTTATTAGCTAGAGAATGGTCTTAGAAGAGGGTAGGTAGGTAGATAGTTCCGTTAGAGTACGGCAGTATGAAAATTGAATAGAAGTTGAAAATGAGCAAAGGGCCATTAATGCGACAGTACAAAGTCAAACGCACACTTCTTTGCCTAACCTGAACGATGTACGTGGAGATTTGAAGTATGTCTTTAAATCTACAGGTAAAAAGTATGCGCCTGACTTTGCTCAAATACTGCCTGTGGAATAGTTCTAGTGACGTTTCATCACTACCTAAAGCCCCACGTTGCCGAAAACATTTCCAGTCGATGCAATTCTTCTCTACCCAAGTATTGTGTTGCTCCTCTCGTCATGACCAATTTAGTAATCTCAGAGAGAAAGCTGTAGGGTGGTTGTTGTGTGCTGTACCATCATTAGTAGTATTGACGGCTACTCCCGCCTTGAGTTGTTACATTCAAAGTGTTTTTATGTTACTTCATATGCGAAGTTAGCAATTTTCAGAGTTGGTTGGAAATGCTATCTAAGATGAAGCTTTAGTGTAATTATTTATTAGCTAGAGAATGATCTTAGAAGAGGATAGGGAGATAGTTTTGTTGAGTAAACTGCTATACAACAAAAACCTGTCATACAAAGGTTATTTAAACTGTTATAGAACATGTGTGGTTGGAGTGTGGCAAGCACAATGATGACACTCTATTCCTAGGGAAGTCTAGAATATTTCCAACCCCAAAGATTCCCTCGACCGGACCAGAAATCGAACCCACCGCCACCGGCTTGGGAATACCGTGCTATGACTGACTAGGCTCATTGAGGCCCATTGTAAGGTGCATTTTTTTTTCAATTAATTTTTTATTTGGGATGTTCATGCCATTTGTTTTGCAGGTTATGATTTCCGAACACGACACGTTTTCAAGTACCTAAAACGAAGTTAAATTGATTAGTGGCTTGCTATGGAGCACCCATTGTTTTTGTTCAGTTATAACACTTTTTAAAACAAATTATGTTGCAATTGGATGCTTCCTAGCGTCCTGGAAAAAAAATGTACCTTGAGAAAAATAATGACAAATATCAGCGATCAAATACGCTGATCAAACTGAAACCCTTTTTACCAATCTCTTTACAAACTGAAATATTATTCACATTTTTTTTTTCAATTACTGCCAACATAAGCATCCCAGACAACCAGGAGTCGTATACCAGCGTACAAATAGAATTGTAAATTAGTCTTGATAAAGTCAACATCGCATACAATAATGATATGCTTCGTATAAAGTTGAAGTAAATTCGCAAAGAATGCAAACTTTCGACCTATTGGATGAACCTATTTTTGTATCGTACCGTATCACAAATAAACTTGAATGAAGTTGTATGGTTTTTGAGACTAACATTGTTATAACAGATGAGATCGTAAATTATGGCTTATCGAATCCATGAAAACTAATAACTACAGATAACCATAGATAACATAAGAATGTGCACACTAGATCGCATTTGAGATTGCCTCAAATCAAAATCCCATGAGTCTATAAAAGCATTCCATCTTGTAGCATTAATGCAAAACTGCGGTCCAAATGCGATTTTCTCAACTGATCTTTGACAGATCGTAAATAGTTACACATCTCTATTGCGTGCGGAGGTGCTGATGAAGCTGAACCGACTCAAGATCCAAACGTAATCTGATGATTGTCATCAACATCAAAATCTTTTCAAGTCCAAGTAGGCTTTTTGAAGCGCATAATTTATCACTGATATAATCCTCCGTACTTATAAAGTAAGTGTTCCAGTAATAGTGGTGTACCTATAGTTGCGGTATGGAGGTTGTGCCGGAATAGTGAGGAGGACCCGGATAAGATTATTTTTCATCGGTAGCTCTTCTAAAATAAAGCATATTTGTATATTTCAAAATTAAAATATGCCCAAAAGTGACGGAAAATAATTAACTTTCCTTGAGATTTTCACTCCTTTGCACCTATAGTTGCGGTAGTGTTCCTGTAATAGTGGAACCCATAAGTGCTTATATGGTGTAGTGGATTCAGTGGTGGTTTCTGGATACGAAGGTGTAATGTATCGAGACTAGCAGCGGGAAATGTTTTTTGTGCTTAATTTTATATGGATCATCGTATTTCTTTTATATTGAAATCGGAAAAATCGTTACTGGAAAGCCAGTATGTATGTATATGGCCTCCTTTTTGGAACGTATATATCAAATCTGTGCATCTTTTACGACTTGTTTGGTTCGTCTATCACTGTGTACATCCGAAATTATATGGATCAAAATGTTGACTGGGATGTGGCTTTATTATTGTTTAAGAGCCATTTTTAGAACTTAACTAAATGACCATTTGCGTGGATCATTTCCGGTGATATTTCTAATAGTAAGGTGGTGTCTTTCAGAATGCAGAGCACTTTCGTGATGCAAACTCGCTGATTTCACATACGCCTGTAGGGTAGTACAGTCTCATAAAGAGTGTGGGAGGTACCTAAAAATGAGACGGGTTTGGGCAAAAGAATATTCAAGACTCAGAAGACAATAAAAAAAGCCAAATATGCACAGTGAAATCGCACCCTTTAAAGGCAAGATCTTTATTTAAAGAAATCGAAAGTGGTGAGTGAAAGATGTGAAAGTAACGAGATCAGTCTACCAGCATTTTCATTTAGTGATGATACGAATGCAGGTTCGAATTGGCGTAGCTACTGGCATGACCATGTCCGTGTCCGTGTCCTCCAAAAGAAGCCTCTTCACCTCCATATCCTCCCTCATGGTGTCCATACACCTGTGGGTGGTGAGCATGGCCAACGCGTTTCACATGGGCCTGGAATCCATTATGCTTGTCGGAAGTGTATTCCACAATACGCTCCGTGCCATCGGCCTCATGCAGCGAGTACTGGCCCTTCACAACATCTCCATCGCGGTGTTCCCACTGGCTCTTGTGATCTCCGGTTTTGGAATCCTTAACACCGTACTCGAACTTGTATTTTGGATGGGAGTGATGTTCCTCGTGATGATGATGTTCACCACCATAGCCGCCTTCCCATTGGGCTGAAACGACCACGACTGCCAGAGCAAGGACTAGAACGAACTAAAATCCCACGTTAGAGTATCTAAGATCAATTTAGATTTATCGAGCAATATACTACCTTCATCATGTTTGAACCTTTTCTGATGCTTCAGATATGAACACTCAATGAGAACTGATGTCTGACTGTGCCGTTGTTTATGGTTTTATACCACACGTTTGGTCATTGCATACTAGCAGAGCACGATTCCTTCGGCCTGAGCTTGTAGCAAGATTTATTGATTGAAAGCATGATAATCATGATACCAAAAGCCTCTCTCAGTACACCTGCGAGCTTGATGTTCAATGGACTGGAAAGATAAAAAAAAACAAAAATTAAATAATTAAATCTTAACAGTGTGGCGCAATCAATTGTCATTAGTTAAGAAGTTGAGGACATTTTCATCTTCTTACTGGCCTATGGTTTCCATCCGGATATTTAGTTTTTATTTCAACATTTTTAAACATTTCTAAATCTTTACATTAATTGCATTTCGACGAGATAAACTAGCCAACGAGCTAAAAATCTCTCAATAAAAGCTTAAAAAAAAAACAAAATAAAAATTCCTTTCATTCGTTTATTGTGTGGTAAGCAAAATAATATTCTATGCCCAGGACAGTCAAGAAATGTTTTATTCTGATAAATTCGTTGACCGCACCGGGAATCGAACCTTGCACCCCTTGTATGATGTACTTTTGTTCGGTCGCGATATGCATTCAGCTTACTGGGCCCCCTTCAATACTTTTGTAGATTTTTTTCCCTTTTTCTCGAGATGCATGAAAAATGCATTGAATTCCAAATCAACCAACAATTGCCATCTACTACATTGACAAATTTGCTACAACTTTCATCCAACAAGTGGCTTTAATTCCTACCTTGGGTGCCAATTTTGTTTTTCTTTTGTTGCGTGCTTTGCGAGTCATGTTTCGCTAATTTAATTAAGGTGATTTCTAAATTTGAAAACCGCTCAAGAAGTTGAAACTATGTAGCGCCTGCCGCCTGCCGGTTCTATGTTTTTCCATACTGACTAAATATGTGGTATAAATTGTGATACAACGATCTTAGAAAACATCAGTTCCGATCTAGCGCTTGCATTCAAAGAATCAACACAGTTTCAAATATGATGAAGGTAGTTTAATTGGACATTTTCAAAATGTTACTTAATATTAAAACATGGAATTCTAGTTCGTTCTAGTCCTTGCTCTGGCAGTCGTGGTCGTTTCAGCCCAATGGGAAGGCGGCTATGGTGGTGAGAATCATCATCATGAGGAACATCATTCCCATCCAAAGTACAAGTTCGAGTACGGCGTCAAGGATTACAAAACCGGAGATCACAAGAGTCAGTGGGAACACCGCGATGGAGATGTTGTGAAGGGCCAGTACTCGCTGCATGAGGCTGATGGCACGGAGCGTATTGTGGAATACACTTCCGACAAGCATAATGGATTCCAGGCCCACGTAAAACGCGTTGGACATGCTCACCACCCACAGGTCTATGGACACCATGAGGGAGGATATGGAGGTGAAGAGGCTTCTTTTGGAGGACACGGACACGGACATGGTCATGCCAGTAGCTACGCCAATTCGAACCTGCATTCGTATCATCACTAATGCTCATTTGCATTGTTTGGCAATAGGATGGCATCTGATACTTTTCTAGATTTCTGTAAATAAATTATTGTCAAACAATATATGATCGATTATATTTAACTCAAAATTATATGCAATTGTGAACACTGACCTGTGACGTATTTTAAAACATTCATTTCATTTCAAAATATGATAATTGCTTGTTTATTTTCGTGTCTGATTTAATGTATTCATCCTCATCGAATGATTAAGCCCTGTACAGGAAAATGTGATTTTCAATCGTTAGACAAAATCATAAAATTACGAGCTTAACTTAGTGGGAATATAGAACTTGTAAACTTTTTACAACCTTCTCTTATAGAACTTGGATGAATTTTAAGTCCATTCGTAGCTTAAACAACACTGATAGAGGTGAACTAGCCAACGGCTAAAAATCTCTCTAATAAAGTTTAAAAAAAAAACGTAGGTAAAACATTTTTTTTCGGAAGAGTGTTCAAAACGAAATTTGGCCCCTCCTGTGGGGCAAAAGTTCGTTTCAGAAATGCACAGTGGTCCACAATGCAGATTTATGTGGAAGGATATGTTTGAGCCTGAAATTGAATCTTTAGACTAAAAGTTTTGTATACAAAGTTGATTCTTATAGTTAGGCCCTCATTTTTATGACAATGAATTCTAGGGTGGATCTTATTATCATTGAAATCAAAAATCTATCTTTTTTGTTTGAAAAAAAAAAAATTAAGGTATACATTCATCGGTAACATTACAGTTGAGCTAATTTCAAGCAACTTTGTTAGGAAAAACTGTTTTGTATCTCTTAAATTAACCGACTTAGAGCTATTTTCTTGAATTGAGTTAGGGTGTCTCTTAAAAAACAGTTGTTTTGCTCTAGTTTTCTTATTTCAAATTTTTCAGCAAAGGTGTCTTCAACTAACTTTTAGATCTTTAGAAGGCGCAAATTTTTGCTGCACAGTGCTTGTCGATATCTTTTTGCTATTGAAAATCTTTAAATTTTCCTTTATGATATGAATTACATTAAGAAACCACATGTTTATGCCCAGATAATGTCAAAACTTGACGAACATCGAAATCCACTCGAAAATAGTGTTTTTCCATATTCTGCTCCATTTATAATTGATTAAAGTTAACAAATTCGTTTTAGACAATTGTGAATGATTACATGGGTTTGGGACATGACTCACTATATATACTTCCAGCTTCATAGCATCAATATATCAAAAGTACGATGGTTAAAATTATGTTTAAGAAAAACGAAATCATGAAATAAAATTACCCCTTCACTATTGAATTTCTTTTATTGTCTACCCCTAAAGTTGGTAACGATGTTTTTATATATCCTCCTGAAATGCACAGAATTGCCTACAATTCTTCGAAAAATACCACAATTTTGGAAATTTTTTGGGAGAAAGTCTGACTCTAAAAGACCTTTCAAACAAGTGCCAAAACTATCAGTTTTATTTCGCACAGGCGTCGTGTAGGTAGTAATACTAACCTCAACAGATTACCCTTTTGAATAATTCCTTATCCCTTACTACGGACCATGCATCACATGGGAAGTATAATTCCATTGCACATCATAAATTAAATACTCGCTCAGCTTGACATAGAAACAATTACCCAAATTCTTAACCTACTGAGAAAACACTCAGTCAGCACCAAAACCCTTTCCTTTTCCTTATTTTGAGACCATTTAAGTGCTACCATATGTACACAATTAATTCCGTCCGTATGTACGCCAAATAGTTTACAAAACAAGCCTAACGCGTTGCTTCCCTCCATGCTAGTTTTCATTTGAAGAACCCGGTAAAATAAACTCACATTCTACTTTCAACTGTCTAAGACTATAGTGCATAAATCCGAAAGTCCGATCTTGCCACAGTCGAAAACATCAAATCAAACTTTTGCCCCACTTTACCTACCTTTTCGAACTTTTGTCCACAACGTATAAATTTTTCACAGCCCATAGGTTTGAATAAGAAGAATCAATAATTTATTTATTTATTTAATATTTCTCATCTGACTTTGTGTTGTCTTAATGAAATTAGATAATTTGATGGGGAAAAGCCGAAATGGCGTAAAAACCCCACATGTTTTCACAATACACAATACAAAATACAAAATAAGGAACATAACATTTAACAAACATGATGTCAGCAGCAATCAGAAGCATAAAATGTGTAATTGGCATGGTCCATCGTTGGAAGCAAACCTCGTCGTCAAGTAAAATACAGAGAACACGAAACAAAAAAGATTCAGGTAGCACATTTCTTAAGCTGTGAGAGCATTGGAATGTTACTCACCTGTTGCAAAATGTAATTTTGCCCATCATTGCACGTCGAGTTATTCAAATTTTCAGTAGATTTCATCCCTCATGCAGACTTCGTTGAATTCGGTTACGAAACGCAGCCGCAGAAATGTTGAAATCGAAGTATTCGTAGAAGAAGAAGAAGAATCAATTATAATCATTGGATTGGTGCTGTTTATTCGGCCTCCTCCTGAACGGATATTAGTATTAAGGAAAAAATAAAATAAAAAGGAAAGTTAATTCGGCTCCGCAATGCTTTCTCAATGGAGCCTAGACAAATAAATAGTTGATGAAGAAAAAAAAAAGAGTGCTGTTTGTTAGTTTTATTTGAAGTTTGAAACTTCAGTTAGGGGAGACTTGATCAGACACTTTTAACCCTGAAATTTGACTGGACAAAAATAAAACTCTGTTTGGGTAGTCCTTAAGACCTGAAATTTTCACAAATTCAATCCCAGGATGTGTGTAAAAATTAATATAATTAAAAAGGGGATGGCCCTTAAGGGAGGCCCCTAATTATTAAAATGAATCCTGGCATAATTCAAAAAAACGTACTTAAAGCATTGAATATATCTTGTCAAATGCTCTTTCAACACACTTTGATTGAATACAAGGTGTTTCCTAAAGTAAACAGGATTTAATAAAAAATAGCATAGACTTATTCTTTCGACGAATCAACTTTGTTTTATTCAAGATAGTCCCCTTCAGATTCAATACAATGATTTTCACGATCTAAAAACATATAAAACGAGTGTTTTATGGCCTCGATAGGGATGTCCTTCAGGATGGTGCTACAAGCCTTTTGGATGTCTTCAATGTCCTTATAATGGTTTCATTTCATCGGCAAATGTAATTTTCCCAACAAGTCGAAGTCGCACGGTGCCAAATAAAGCGAATACAGGGCATGATCGATGGTTAAAACGCGATTATTTTTAGTAAAAAATCAGTCACAAGCGTTGACCGATGCAACGGAGAATTATCGCCAAATACGATGCATCAAATGCTTCCAAACATCAAGGTAGAATACAGCATCAACCGTTCGGCCAGTTGGAACGAACTCTTTATGAATAATCCCCTTGGAATCGTAGAAACAAATCAACATTTTCTTCACTTTTGACTTCTCCAAACGGCTTTTTTGCGTACTTGGCTCGCCTGGAGGCTTCCATTCGGCATTTTGACGCTTGGTTTCTGGATCATATTGAAAACGCCACGTTTCGTCACCCGTCACAA